GGGGGGGGGGGGAGAGACCGAGGCGGACTATGGCGTCACCTCTGGGCTCCCCACCTCCCACACCTGGGAGAGTGAGCGAGAAAAAGCAAAAACATCTTCGTGTTATTACGAAAACAGCGTCGACCCTGTGGATTCCCTGAGAGGGTCTCGAGGCCACCAGGGACCTGGATGACACTGGTCCCCCGCTCCGTGTGACGCAAGTCCCCGTCACAGTTTGGTCGTCCCTTCTGCAGGTGCAGCTGTTGCCCGCGGTGTCTCCTTGTACATTCACACACAGCGGCACCTGTGCATTTCACCTCGCTTCCCCTTTCCATCACCGGTGTTGGGTACAGTTACATTTCACATCCCTTTCATGGGCTTTCCCGGGTCCCACTAAGTGTCTGTGGCCACGTGGAGTCCACGGTGCCTTGGCGTGGGGTCCCCTCAAAGACTGGCTACACCAGTCTCCAGCCACTTCTGTAAAGAATGCAGAATTCAAGAGGAATAAAGAGCCCACGCCGGGCAAGACGGCCATCAGGTATCGTCACACAGATTCACCCTGGCTTCCAGGTCCCCGGCGAGGCCCACAGCACTTGAGGGAACACCCCAACCTCAGCTGGACTGCTGCCCTGTCACACCTCACGGCTCCAGAGAGGCCCAGTGAGCCACCTCTGTGCTGGTTTTCACAGCAATGTCTAAAAACACTACCTCACTTTGTTCCTGAAACTCAGAGCAGGGCCAGAGCCCCGGGTCCCCAGGCAGCATGCAGACAGCTGTTTTCCCAGCACCGACGGTGAAGGTTAGCGGCTGGTGACCTCCCTGCCCCGAGGCTGAAGGAAGCCATCACTCTTACAGCAAAGTTGGTCCAAGGGCACCGCGACCATGATGCCGGCATGTGCGCGGACCGTCGGGCTCATCTCCTCACTGGGCGGTAGCTGGATGACCTCGGGATTCACGCAGCTGCTGCTCACTCGGTCAGGCTGCACCCGGCACGCAGGGCCTTAGAGGACAGACAGGCCAAGCGGCCCAGAGAGCCTGACCTGGGGTGACGACACAGGAAGGGAAGAGGGGCTGAGCGTGCTGAGGATGGCTGCCGTGGGGAAACAGCCATGTCCCCACAGCTGCACGTGACCATGGGCAGGTCACCGAGAACAGACCCTGGGACCACGGAGGAGGAGCTGGCTTGTGGGGGAAGATCGTGAGTTTGGTTTTGAACATAAAGAGCGCGGTTTCCTACGATGGAAACAGGTAAATACATCGAGCAAGCGGTGGAAGGAGAGTCAGGCTGAGACCAGCGTGTCTGGGGAGAAGCCAAGAATTGAACGGAGGATGGGCCGTCCTGGGCAGCAGCAGGGAGCTCTCGGGAGGGAACTGGGGTCAGACCGGGCACTTGGGGGCTGTCCCTCACGTCCCAAATCATCGGAGTCCCCGACCCAGCCCTGCTTTCGGAGGAAGGAGACCCAGGCCCAGGGTTTCGCCTCATAGCGGCTTTGTAGCCAGATGCACTAAGTGACCCCTGGGCATCAGTGCACGGCCCTTGGGCATCAATATATGGCTGCCAGGAGTCAGTGCTGCCTTGGCAGCAGAGAGAGCTGCATGTGCCCCATCTGACACCGCGGCTTCGGAGAGGCCTGGGAACCAAGGAGACGCTCCCCACCTGCCCCCTCAGGCCAGCACTGCAGCTGCCCAGCGTGCAGTCAGCTCGGGGGGCCACTCTGAGGCAGCGTGTGGTCACTGCCCCCGCCCAGTGCCGTGTCCCCCGCACATGCGTAGGGTTGCCGTGTCTGCAGTTGACAACTTGTGGCTCACCTGGCGTTACTGCCACTTCTGCAGAAACAAACCCAGGGCCGTTGTGGCCAGAGCACCAGCTTGTGGGCAAGCCCAGGCCCCAACCCCAGCCTGCTATTGCTCCGTTGCTCCACCAGCCTTTCCTGCAAGAGACTTGTTTTTAAGGCAAATTCCCCAGTCTCGAATTTCTCTACCTGTGAGCTGTGAGCCCTCGCCCCTCAGGAGACTTCCTTCAAAGAGAGCTCCATAGTCCGAAACGCGCATGGAGCACAAGCTGCCCTCTGGGAGAGTCCAGCGCTCGCTGCCACACGAAGGACCTCGGGAGTCCTGAAGAGAAACCTGTAGTCTAAGACTGTTCCCAAACTCGGGCACAGAGACCATTATCTAGTAAGACACTCACAGGTTCCCAAAGGTCATGCTTTGGGAAACACCACTTTTGTCTAGTTAGCAATGTTTCCTGTGGGTCCCAGGTAGAAGCATCCACACTGAGAGGTCCGCACTGTGGGAGTGGGTGGAAGTGATGAGACCAAGAAGGAAGAGAGACAATGAAGAGGCCCAGCCTCCCCAGCGCCCGGCCTGTGGGCAGCCGGGGCAGAGCAGCCACTAGGGAAATCCTGGCTGACCTGGACCTCAGGTGCTGGTCTTGTGAGTTCCAGCTCTAGGTCTTCTTGTCCTGCCCATGGCTGGCTTGAGGTTTCTCTGCTTCTGCCCCTCCATCAGCGGCAATACCTCCTTGCAGGCTCCTTCCAGTTGCTTCCACACCCGCTCGGCCCATCGAGCTTGTCCACCAACAGGGTCAGGACCCAACCCCTTCGCATCCAGACAGATGGCTGAGAGTCGGCCAACGTACCTGCTTCTACCTGTAACTTTCCTTTCGCGCCAGCCAGTGAATCTTAGCACTTCCCCTGCTTTAGGGTAAAGGAAATGTTCAAACTGCACAAGGCCTGAAGCTCCCCGAATGGAAAAGAGCACATCTGTGCAGGCTATGGCTCCACTCCCGGCCAAAGCCACGCCAGGCTGCGTCCTCACTGCTGACGGAGCCTTTGGTCCCTCACCATCCATCACAGCAGCGCCCGCCCTGCCCTTGGCCTCCCGCCTGTCCGGTTTCACCCGATCCTTCCTGCACCTGGAGCTCCGGCTACAGCACCGACCCTCTGGGCCTAGACACTGAGCCCACTTGCTGCACAGCTCCCGTGCTGAGTCCTGAGCTCTCTGCCTGGTGATAAGCTTGGGAAGGGACCCTGCCTGTCACATTCAGGCACTTAGTAAACACTCAGAACTCTCTTGCTGAACAGGAATGATCCACATGCACCTCAGAATAGAGTGAAACAGAAAACGTCACATCTGCCAAGCCCCTTTCTGGGCCTGAAGGCCTTCAAACCACTCTAGTTCTTTCATCTTAGTCTTAGGAAAGGAAAGATTGACTTCACCCGGTCCTGGGGCCCACGAGTGTTCATTCTTTTTCTTACAGACAGAGCTATGCCTCTGCGTGGCGGGCCTCATGGGGCGTCTAGACTGGTCTGTTAAGAGATGTTTGGACCTTCATCTCTGGATTTTCCAAGGGGCTGGCCAGAGGCGTGTCCTTCCCATGACCATTCTCTACCGACAGTTGTTTCTCCCTTCATCCACTCTCAGCAGCCCGGCAGACGCTCAGGGAGCAAGTCCCCGAGATGCAGGGCGGGTGGATGAGTCACTGTGTGGTCTTCACGGCACCCTAAATGCAGTCGGGGACACCCACCACCGAGTCACAGAGGGAGGTGGCTACAAAGTGCAGGTGCCCTGGTCACTGAACATAAATGTGCTTATTTGTTGGTCTGGGGTGGAGCTGGGGACCTGCCTTTTTGCAAAGCTCACCAGGGGCCTCTGATGGAACCTGGGTGGAGACCCGGTGGCAGAGACAGGCAGATGGGAGGTGGCTGTCACACAGCCCTGCCACTCGCAGCAGAAGAGGGGCCCTCGAGCTGGGGTGGGAAGTGGGGCCAGGACCCTGAAGGAAGTGCAGACCTAGCTTGTGTTTGCAGGTGTTTTAATAATGTCCAATAATCTACCACCCTCGCAAGCTGAAAACATTTCCCTGGGAAACGGGTGCCTGGAGGGGTCAGGCATTGGCGTAACGGCAGTAAGACTTCACAGCGGTCACCCACTTCCCGGGAACCCCGCTACGTCAGCGCAGCCAGGCTGTCCCTGGGAGAGGTCCAGAGAGGCCTCTGCCTCCCACCCAGAGCCACGCCACCGGCTTTCAGAGTGTGGGTAGCGGTGGGCTGGGACTGGCTGAGCTCTGACGAAGGAAACGATGTGGGCTGGACATTGTCACCACTCTCACTAAGCCCCATTTACCCACAGCAGAGGGGGTGACTGCTCCCCCGAGGCCGCATGCTGACTCACGCTGAGGAAACGCAGGGACAGTGTAGGTGACAATAGCTGATGTCCCTGCAAAGACCCTTGGGGCTCGGAGTGCTTGGCCATGAGCAGCAATGCTGAACAGTGGCGGGGTGCAGCTGGCAGTCACTGACGCTCCACGTTTCTCATTATGGCTGTTTGGTTGCTTTTTCGGAACACTGAATATCAGCAATTCTCAGAGAGAATACGGTGCTGGAGCCTCAGACACCTCTATGTGACACAGTACCGCAAGCCTCTCACCTGGAAAAACCCAGAGGGAGAAGCCGGACGCTGATCCTGAATCCTCCTCTAGGACGCGCAGACCCAGCGGAGGACAGTGTGGTGTCCCACCGCCTGGGCAGGGACCGCGACCAAGCTGGCCACCAGTTTCAGAGAGAAAACCGGGAATACTGACCGCGAGAAGGGACAGCTTCCATTCAAGGAGGTGGCCACTGAGACAGGCTGCCCACGCCAATGTCACACACTCCCAAATGCAACCCCTGGGGCCAGCACTCCCCGCGGGGCGGCTGCTCGCCCGAGGGCCCAGCGCTCGGTGACCACCCACAAGCTGGGCTGCCCGGGCCCTTTAGAGCTTGGGAAGGGCCCACATCCAACGTCTCTGAAAGCAGCACCACCGGGGCACAGCTGCGGTTTCTGTCAGCAGAGGGGCCGGGGCAGGAAGGGAAAGCAGGTTGCCAGGCGGCGACAGGTGCGCTCAGACCTGAGCCCGGCTCTCTGACCCCCAGGGCTCTCTGCATAACAAAGCTGAGTTCATGGAGCAGCCGGAAACGGACCCAAGGAGATGACCCAGGGAAAAGCATCTCCAAGCGCAGCCGCCCGCGAGGGAGCCGCAGGCTGCCCTCCGCCCCGACAGCAGCCCCCTTGAGGGGCCGGGGGCACCACTCAGTGACCCAGAGCCGGGTTTGAGTCCTACCGAGAAGAAAACGCTTTTATACACTGACTGGATGGTGGTCGGCCATCTCCACTGGATGGACACAAACACCGAATCGTTTGTAAACCTGAGGCTAACATATAACGTCATATGCCAACCACACCTCAACTAAGAAGAGGAAATGCCATCGACAGGAACAAGCACAGGGCGCAGAGCCAGACGTGCTTGATGTCCCACCGCTCTGAGCCTTCACGTCCTCAAGGTGGGATGATGCCTGAGAGCGGTGGGGATGCCGCCGCGAAGTGTGGAGCTCTGAGCGTGGAGCATGGGGCCTGGGGCAGGGTGAGCATGTGGCGTCCACTGTCTCATCTCCACACAGGGCCAAACGTCCCACCCAGCACCCTCTTCCTGCGCTGACTGCTAATTAAGCTCCTCCAGGATCTCGCCGTGAGGGGAACCTGCCACGGGAAGTGGAGACCCCTGCTCAGGCCGTCTCTCTCCCGGCGTCTGTGAAGCGAGGCCAGGAGAGGCCCCGGCGCTTTGCAGGCCATGTCATCCGGAGAGAGTGCTGGAGCCCGGCACAAGAAAATGGTGCTGAGGCCCCGCCAGCCTAGCCGCGTGGACTACCGCCTGAAATGGCTGGCCTGGCGGTTTCCACCACTTGGAAAAACGCTCCTTCCCCTTGGATGGGACTCTTGAGCCTCAGCCAGGATTCAGAGGTCCCAGCGGGAAACAGCCCCGAGTCTTGGTAACAAAGGGAATGGCAGCCTGGCCGCGAGGCAGAGAGGACGGAGCTGGCAGGCGGATGTCCCCATCACCGTCCGCGCAGGCCCCGCTGCACCCGCACCTCAGGGCGAGGCCACCCCTCTGCCCGAGGTGCCCCCCTCACAGCCAGTCAACCTCCTCCAAAAAGACAGAAGCGCAAAAGATGTCGTCTCGCAGCTCCGAGGGCCGGCGCCTCCGCCCAGCTCCCGGGCTGCCGCGCCCGGAGGCCGCGTGGGCCCCCTCGTCCTGCCTGTCTTCTCTGGCGCTTGGTCTCTTTGTTGTTCCCTCCAGAACGTAAATCCAGCCCCCCGAAAAGGCGAGACCTTGATCTCTGGGGCCGATGGCGCCCCAGCTGCTTCCCTTCCGCTCCTCACTCGAAACCCTCTCGGGCTCTTTTGTAAACTCCTCCAGAGACCAGGAGAAGTACAGTCAGAGCTTTCGATTTTTGGAAAAGAAAGAACACAAAGGAAAAAAGAAAACACGTGGCACTCACGCTCATCCAGGAGCTCGCAGCTGCGGGCCGAGGCGGGCGGGCTGCGATCCACGGTGTCCCCGGGCCCCGGAGGGAGAGCTGGGCGTGAGGGGCTCCGCTCGCTCGGCCGCGGGAGCCCAGCGGCAGGCGCGCATCCACGGGCTGATGCAAGACGCCTTTGCGAGAAACTTCACATTCTGAGGATTCCTGGGAAGACGCCAGGCTCCCAGCATCCAGCACGGGGCACATGTGGTTTCAATTAGGAAGGGGCTGGGAGGGAAGCGGCGGAGGCACCAGGCGGAGCTGTTTGCTGTTTGGAGACTAGTTCTTTTGACCCAAGGGACCACGGGCAGAGCTGTAATTTACAGCAAAACCCATTCATAGGAGAAAAACATGTATAACCACGGGACAGCCTGAAAGACAAGCTCTCTTCCACCCTGTCCCCGGGCCCCTCCATCTGCTGCTGGTCCCCACCCGGGACCCCACCTCGCTGGAGTCGGCACCGCGTGAGGCTGGGATTCTCACAGCCAGAGCTTGCAGGGCAGCGGGGTCAGGCACACGGAGCTGGTCTGTGTTTTATCCATGAAAGCGCAGAGCTGGGGCCTCCCCTAGAAGATCTGACTCCATCCCGTCCCCCCACAGCTACCCCACCAAAAACACAGCTGGAGGCCCCAGGACTCCTATTTTTCCACTCAATTCCCACTTGGTCATTGCTGCAGAGGGTCTGTCGCTGCCCTGGTCAGGCTGCTAAATGAAAACACAGGCGTTTACAAGGACTTTCTAAACTGTTTTGGAACCTTTTATTTTCTCTCTTTTTTTTTGCTCTCCGCAGTGGGGCCAG